ATTATAAAGTTGTAAAAAATAAATTTTAAAAAAAAAAAAAAAAAAAAAAAAAAAAAAAAAAAAAAAAAAAAAAAAAGATCCCGAGAGGAGAATGGAGGAGAAGGGATTGTGGTGTGGCCATCCCCCCTGCCCCCCTGGGGGGTGATTTCTCGCTTTCTGTCTCTCTGTTTCTCTCTGTCTGTCTGGCGAGCGCACGCGCCCTATAGCAAAAACCTATTAAAAAAAAAAAAAAGAAAGAAAAGAAAAAAGGTTAATAGTGATAAATCATGCTGATAGTAGGTACCCTTGATAGGGTGTGATAAAAATGGCTCTTTAGTTCTGTGGGCTTCCTCTCAAAAATCTATAAACCCTCACGACCAGATCGGGGTTATAGGTTATAGGTTTCCCACCTGAAGCATATTTCACAAAATGCCCTACCAGGACTACTCCAAACTGTCAAAATCATCAAAAACATAAAAAGTTGAAGAAATTGTTGCAGCTAACAGGAGCCTAAGGAGATGTGACAACCAAAACAATATGGTGTCCTTGATGGGAACCTAGACAGAAAAAGGGCATTAGGGAACAACGAATCTGAACAGACAGTAGCTGGTAATGTCGATAACAGTTCATTAATTCTAACAAATGTGCCATATCGATGTGAGATGTCAGTAGAGGAAATTGTTTGAGGTAAATGGAAACTCTTTACAATTTTTCTGCAAATCTTAAGTTTATTTCTCAAAAAAATCATACTAAATAAAAAAGTTAAAACTCCTTGGGACGAGCAGATGGCATAATGATTACATCACTGGACTCCCACATAGTTGATCACGGTCTGAGTCCCGGACCTGGTGGCTTAAACTTACACTGGGCGCGTGTGCGTGCGTGCCCAAAATCCCGAGAGGAGAATGGAGGAGAAGGGATTGTGGCGTGGCCATCCCCCCTGAAGGGTGATTTCTCACATTCTGTCTCTCTGTCTCAGTCTTTCCAGCAAGCACATGTGCCCTATAGCAAAAACTTCTCTTGGGGGCCAGCAGGTGGCATGGTGGTTAAAGGTGCTGGACTCCCACATGGCTAACCATGGTTCAAGTCCCAGACTTGTTGGCATGCTTTCTCACTTTCCCTTGCTCTCTCTCTGTCTCTCTTCAGCCAAACTGGAAAATAAAAATAATAATAATAAATAAATAAAGCCAAATAAAATAATTTTTTAAAAAGTCTCTCTTAAAAAATTAAAAATCCTTGGGACTAGCAGTTAGCATAATGGCTATGTCGCTGAATTCCCATGTAGTCGACCGCGGTTCGAGTCCCGGACCTGGTAGCTTAAACTCACGTGTGTGCCCAAGATCCCAAGAGGAGAATGGAGGAGAAGGGACTGCGATGTGGCCATCCCCCCTGGGGGGTGATTTCTCGCTTTCCGTCTCTGTGTTTTTCTAGCTAGCGCATGCACCCAATAGCAAAAACCTCTTCCCCCCAAAAAAAAGAAAGAAAAAAAAATCATGCCAGTTGTATGTGTGCATGCCCAAAATCCTGAGACAGAATGCAGAAGGGATTGTGACATAGCCATTCTCCCCAGGGATGATTTCTCACTTTCTCTCTCTCTCTCTCTGTCTCTCTCTCTCTCTGTCTCTCCTTGTAAGTAAGCATATCCTATGGCTAAAATCTTTAAAAAAACCAAAACCTTTATAATAGGTTTGAATCAAGATACAAACAAGTACTACACATTATATTAAGTTGTCAAGAAAGTCATGACATAATTTTCTATGCAAAAATGCATCATAACTTTTTTTTTTTGAGAGAGATTTTTGCTATAGGGCGCGTGCGTTCGCCAGATAGACAAAGAGAGACAGAGAGACAGAAAGCGAGAAATCACCCCCCCAGGGGGATGGCCACGCCGCAATCCCTTCTCCTCCATTCTCCTCTCGGGATCTTGGGCACACACATGCGGCCGGCCTGAGTTTCAAGCCACCAGGTCTGGGACGCAAACTGCGGTCCACTACATGGGAATCCAGCGACATAGCCATTATGCCAACTGCTGGTCCCTAAAAATGCATCATAACTTTCTTGACAACCCAATATTTTATTGAGAGACTCTGATGTAGTTTTAAACCTATAAGAGGTCCTCCTTCTCTCTAAGACATGCAAGTTATTAGATAACCCAAAAGTGGGTTATTTGTAGCATCTTCCAAAATCTGAATTTCATTCATTGTATCCTTATGTCATCATGTAATGTTCCTCTACCACCCATATCTCCTGTTGACTGGTAATTAGATCTAGATGCTTGACCTAATTTTGTTCAATTTTTTGACAAAAAGGTTCCTTGGGCGATATTTTGTTCTTCCTATTACATCACACCAAGAGCACATGACGTCCAGCCCCACTTCTAGTGATATTAAAATTCATCAGTAGGCCCACCTTGGTGACATAGTCGGTAGCGAACTGAACTGCAGCATTGGAAGCCACCACACAGCCAACTGCGGGTTCCAATGCCCTGGCTGACTTGACAACACACAAGAACCATTCGTGCATGCCCCACATCCTGATGAGTTGGTGGGCTGAGGAAAGGGGGCCACAGCATGACGAGATTCTCTCTCTCTCTCTCTTGCACCAACAAGCTCTATTATGAATAAAACGAAAAATAAACTTGGCATTCTGATCCATCCATTCATCAACTTTTCACTTGATAGCTTTTCTTTAAATTAATTTCCTGAGAGGGAGAAGAGAGAGAGAAAAAGAGAGGAAGGGTGACAAGCCCCTCCTCCCCCCAGGACATAAGATCTCGTCATGCAGGATCACAGGCATGCACGAAACTTGCCCCATGTGTTCAGGTCAAACCAGAATCAAAAACCCAGGCCTTGGGACCAGCAGGTAGCATTGTGGTTAAGATGCTGGACACTCCCACATGGCCGACCATGGTTCGAGTCCCGGACCTGGGGGCTTCCCTTCTTCCTTTCCCTCTCTCTTTCTCTGTATGTGTCTCTCTCTGGTCAGATTAAAATAAATGAATGAATAAATAATAATTTAAAAAAACAGGCCTTTCCATATGGCTGCAGCACTGCACAGCCGCACCCCACCCACTGTGCAACCCCAGCTGGGCTTCACCTAATAATAGTTTTAACAGTCATTGATAACTGCCTGGAGCTATTGTTGCATTAGTTATTGCAAAAGATGATTTCTAGTATTGTTCATCCGGCATTATTGGCTCCAGTTTCCCTCCCTCGCTTCCCAGAGCTTCTGACCAGTCCTACCATTATTTTGGACCTCAAGGCTGGCTAAATCTTAGTAGCTGAAATTTATCTTTGTGCTGGAGGCCAAGAGATCTTGAGAATGATTTATAGATCTGTGGTAGTCCTGTACCAACAGAAATCTGTTAGATTTGTAAATTCTTGAGTCATATTAGAGACCAACTAAATTAGAAACTCTGAGGGTGAGCTCCGATCTTAGGCAAGGTGGACACCACAAGCCTTTCAGGGGATTCTGATGCCTGCTCACCACTGGCTGCCCTAAGATACCTTTTAGTGAAGCAGTGGCTTATTAAGGTCTCTATGTGAACCGCAATATGCTGGCCACTGAGCATTCTGGATGCAAAGAACAAGGTCCGGTGTCCCTAAGGAACCCTGAGTCTATTCAGGACAGGACACCTGCTTGTGAGAAGGTACCCAATGACAGTTGGTAGTCTGCGGTGCATTCCTTGCGTGTCAAGAGATTCCTTGTCAAGTTCAGGGAGTGGGCCTAGCTGGTAGAGGTTTCAGAGATGACTCCAGCTAGGATTTAAAGAAACCAAAATACTCTGAAGGTAGGAGTGGCAGAAAAAATAGGAAGGGTTTCCCCAAAAAACAGACTGGCATGAACAAAAACTAGATGCTAGGAAAGGTGATGACCGTGCTGACAATGAAGCTGTGTCCTTTCCTTCCTCACCACCATCATTCCTGCATTGCGCTCTGGCAGTATTGCTTTCTTTGGGTCTATTCCTCGGCTACCTTCTTGCTCGTCCATAGACACCCTAGGGTAGTCACACTGGTGTGTGTGTGTGTGTGTGTGTGTGTGTGTGTGTGCTGCCTGTGGGCGTGGGAGCTGGGGAGTATGACGCGGTTATCCGGGCTGGTGCGTGCAAAGGGACATCCGAGGCACCCTTTCCCCTGCCACGGTGCCGAGAACAGAAGGGCCTGCGCCTGCCGCACATCAGAAAGATGCGCGTGGCGAGTGTCGGTGCAGCGCTGACGTAGGGAGGACACCGCAAGCCGTGAGCTCCGCGTTCAGCGGTGACGCCGAAGAGGCAACCCCGGGTGGGCGGAGCCGAGGCTGGGAGAGGCGGGCGGGGCTGCAGGGCGGAAGCTGCCATCTAGCCGTGGCGGAAGCACGTCCCCTGCGGGGCAAGATGGTGGCACCCAGGCGGACCTCGAGCAAGTAGGTGTCGTGGCTGGAGGGATGGACTTCAGGTGATCTGGCAGAGGACCCAGGGACAAGGCGTCCAGCGCCTTTGTCGGAGCCTGCCCGAGGGTCTTTGCGCGGGAGCAGTTGTCGCCTCCTTCGTCCTTAGAGCTCGGCCACGACCCTTCGTCCACGGGCGGCAAAGGCTCGTGATTTCGCCTTGCTCACGCGGATGGTCCTAGAGGTTTAACCAGAGCTCCCCACTGCAGAGCTGAGGCGCAGTCGCGGGCCCCGACTCGGGCGGAGCCTGGCGCTGGAGGTTAGGGTGCAACGTGAGAGCCCCAGAGGCAGCACGGGAAAACGCCCCTTTGCCCGGGAGTTGTTCCCTAGGCTGGGAACCCTCCTGACGAGCTCACGGTCTGGTTCAGTAGTTTTCAGCGGAGGTGATTCTTCCTCTAGCGGACGTTTGGCAACATTTGGAGATGTTTTGCTTGTCCTAATTGGGAGAGGAGGCGTGCTAATGTCATCTAGTGGGTAAAAGCCGGGAATACCGCTACACACCCCACTGCTTCCAGGGCAGCTTCTCACAACAAAGAGCCGGCCATCCCCAACGGTCAGCAGTTGCTGTTGAGAAACCCGAGTTTTTTTAGTGTTTACTCTTCAGGAGAGTCCGTAGTCCTTCCCTGACTCCCCCACTGCTTCAGACTTCTAGGACTCTCAAGCACCGCACAGCACCAGGCAGTAGAAATAGTGAAAAAGAGGGGCCAGCAGGTGGCGTGGTGGTTAAGGACACTGGACTCCCACATGGCTGGTTGCGGTTCAAGTCCCGGACCTGGCGGCCTGTTTTCTCACTCCCTCCCCCACACTCTGTCACTCTAAATAACCAAATAAATAAAGTTAAATAAAAATAATTATATATATACATAAAAGAAATAGTGAAAAAGAGCAAATCTGACTCTCTGGGTTCGAATCGTAGTCCTATTAGAATTTTTAACTCTGAGACCTTGGGCAACTTACTTAATTTATCAGCACTTTCTTTTCCTCTGCTGTAAAAAGTGTTGTGCAGATTAAATGAATGAGTATGGGAAAAGTGCATAAATAGTATGTATACTTAGTGCTCCATAAGTGTTAATAATGATAACCATAGTGATACTTTCATTATTGGCATCCAGCTCAGAGTTCCAAACTAGTTAGACAGCATGCAGCCATGTTCGTTTGGTCAACCCAAGGGTTTTTGTTGTTGTTTTTCCCCTAATTTAGCCAGAAAGCACATATACTGACTAGAGAGAGACAGAGGGTTGGGGGGAGCATCCCCACACACACGGCATGGTCGTGCTGCAATTCTTTCTCCTTCATCTGTCCAACCTTTTGGGACTCGGATCATGTCTGCACACAGACCTAGCATGTTCTTCGAGCTCTTGGGCCGGGATTCAAACTCCTTAGTTGACCATACGTGGTATTAACCACAAGGTAACATGCTGGCCCTGTAAAATTAATTTTAAAGTATATCATTGGGGACCAGCCGATGGCATAATGGTTATGTCACTGGATTTCCACATAGTGGACTGCTGTTCAAGTTCTGGACCTGGTGGCTTAAAACACTTTGGGTGAATGTACATGCTTGCCCAAAATCCCAAGAGGAGAAGGGATTGCGGTGTGGCCATCCTCCCTAGGGGATGATTTCTCGCTTTCTATCTCTCTGTCTCTCCTGCGAGCACACATTTCTGCTATAGCAGAAATCTCCAAAGTATACAATTCATCCGTTTTTAGTATATTCATAACGTTGTAGTCGACATCACTATCTAATTTGAAAACATTTTCATAATCCCCAAAAGAAGCTCCATGCTCACGAGCAGTGAATTCCCTTTTCCCTCCAGCTCTCCCATCTTTTGGCAACCATTAATCTACTTTCTGTCCTGTGGATTTGCTTATCCTGAACATTTCCTATAAACAGCATCATATAATGTGAAGTCCTTTGTGACTGGCTTCTTTTGTTAGTATAAAGTTCTTTTTTTTAAAAAATTGTTATTTATTTTAAATTATTTCTTTTTTATTAAATAATTATTTTTTATTTAACTTTATTTATTTATTTTAATTTAACCAGAGAGGGACAGAATGAGAAAGAGGGGTGGGAAGAAAGAGGGAAGTGAGAAAGCAAGACACCAGGTCCAGGACTCGAACTGTGGTTGGCCATGTGGGAGTCCAGTGCTCTTAACCACCACACCACCTGCTGGTCCCAAGCATTTATTTTTTAAAAAATAATTATTTTATTTTATTTTATTTATGTGTTTTAATTTTTTGACCAGAGAGGGACAAAATGAGAGAGAGAGAAGGAAAGTGAGAAAGCAAGCCACCAGGTCTGAGGCTTGAACCACGGTCAGCCATGTGGGAGTCCAACGCCCTTAACCACCACGCCACCTGCTAGCCCCAGCGTGTTCCTAGGGTCCATATATGCTGTAGCGTGTATCAGAACTTCATTCCTTTTTACTGACAAGTAGCATTCCATTGTAGGGTATACCACATTTTGTTTAGCCACCTTTCATCTGATGGACATTTGTGCTTCCAGTGTTTTGTTGTTTTCACTGGACGTCTTTTACTTTGTTGGTTAAATTTATTCCAAAGTATTTTATTTTTTTCTTATGCTATTGTAAATTCATTTGTTGCCTTAATTCCATTTTTTGGTTGTCATTTTATAGTTTATAGAGATATAAAGCATTTCTTTAAAGAATTGTTTTATTTAACTTTTATTTTTTCTTGGGGAGGTTTTTTGCTATAGGGCACATGCACTCACCAGAAAGGCAGAGAGCGACAGAGAGACAGAAAGCAAGAAACCACCCCCCCCCGGGGGATGGCCACGCTGCAATCCCTTCTCCTCCATTCTCCTCTCGGGATCTTGGGCACACACACACATGCACCGGGTGTGAGTTTAAGCCACTGGGTCTGGGACTCGAACTGCTGTTGGCTACATGGGAGTTCAGTGACATAGCCATTATGTCAACTGCTGGTCCCTAATTTTATTTATTTATTTAAATTTGACCAGAGAGAGAGAGAAAGAGAGAGAGAGAGAGAAGGAAAGTGAGAAAGCAAGCCACCAGGTCTGGGACTCAAACTGTGGTCAGCCATGTGGGAGTCCAGTGCCCTTAGCTACCATGCTACCTGCTGGGCCCAATATATAATTTTATATATTACTCTTTTACAGGCCAAGGGTTTTGGGTCTTTTTCTTTTCTTTTTTTTCACTTAAAAAATGATTTAATTTTATTTGTTATTATTATTGTTATTATTTTTTAATTTGATCAGAGAGAGACAGAAAGAGAGAAAGGCAAAGTGAGAAAGCAGGCTGCCAGGTCCAGAACTCAAAACACTGTCAGCCATATGGGAGTCCAGCACCTGAACCACCGTGCCACCTGCTGGCCCTTTGTACATATTTCTTTACCACTTCTAGAATAGATAGGGAGAAAGAGAAAGAAGATAGAAAGGAAGATAGATAGAAAGGGGGACCAGCAGTTAGTGTAATGGCTATGTCGCTGGACTCCCATGTAGTCGACTGCGGTTCAAGTCCCGGACCCGGCGGCTTAAACTCATGCTGGGCATGTGTGCGTGTGTGAGAGGAGAGTGGAGGAGAAGGGATTGCGCTTTCTGTCTCTCTGTCTCTGTCTTTCTGGCGAGCTCACGCGCCCTATAGCAAAAAAAAAAAAAAAAAACTCTCCAGAAAAAGAAAGGCACCCCTGGCAGGATCCTCATCCTTGATCCATCCCTACTTCATCCAGTACAGTTCATAGGCATGCTTAGTGTGCACAAGGAGGATGCAAATGTGGAACCTTCCCATGTGGGTCAAGTTGTGTTATTGCTGTGCACCCATCTGCTCCCCCAAGGTTTTTTGCTTTTTAAAGAGAGATTTTTGCTATAGAGGGCATGCATTCACTGGAAAGACCGGGAAAGACAGAAAGAGAGAAATCACTCCTGGGGGGGCCACGCTGCAATCAATTCTCCTCCATTCTCTCTCAGGACCTTGAGCATTCACGCACATTGCCCAGCATGAGTTTTAAGCCACAGGGTCCAGGACTCATTACGCCATCTGCTGGTCTCTCCCCCCAGGGTTTTTTGGGTCTTTTTAATAATAATTACTTTATTTAATTGTATTCATCATCATTATTATTTTTAATCTGACCAGAGAGAGAGGGAGAGGGAAACTGGGAAAGCAAGCTGCCAGGTCCAGGACTCGAACCATGGTCATCCATGTGGGAGTCTAGCACCTCAGCCACCATGCCACCTGCCAGCCCTACCTCCTCCACGTTTTGGGTTTTTTTTAAGAATTATTTATTTAACTTTATTTATTTTGTTTTTATTTGACCAGATAGGGACAGAGTGAGAAAGATGAAAAGTGAGAAAGCAAGCAACCACATCCAGGACTTGAACCATGGTCGGCCATGTGGGAGTCCACCACCCTTAACCACCACGCCACCTGCCGGCCCCTCCCCCACGGTCTTTAATAATTCGAATACCTGTAGTCTAGGCAGAGACAGACAGACAGACATAGAGACAGGCACCCCCAACCTGTCCTCACACTGCAATCTCCCTCCTGCCGCAGCCAGCCTGGATCGTGAGCACATGCACAGCTGGTGTGGGCAGGAAGTCTCTGGATGTGAACTCAGGACCTTCCCATGTGGGTCTAGTTGGCCTCTTGCTGTGCCACCCCCTGGTCCCTCCTCTCCAGTTTGACACAGAGTCACCCCTCTTTGTTATGACGCATATCTGCCTTGCCCTTGGCATTTTCTCGGGGCTCCTGCTGGCTCTTCCTGAGAATTTTATCAAGAGGTATTGTAAACAACCTAAGTTGGATGTAAATATTGTTGCTAGGCAGTTGTCATCAGGGAAGGCTGAGGAGGGAATGGCAGTAAGATGAATGGGGTAAATGAGTTCACGGGACCAAGGAAAAAGAGGGTCTTTCCTGATACATAATGAAGAGAAGCGGGGTCCAGTTGCAGCGGTCTGTCCTCTTTATTACTCTTAGGGGTAAATGAGAGGCAGTCCTCACAGGGAAGCAGTGCTGGAAAGAATCACACTGGGGAGGCAGCAGGAGTGTCAAGATGCTGTCGAGGCCAAAGCCAGGGGAGTCCGAGGTGGACCTGCTGCGCTTCCAGAGTCAGTTTCTCTCGGCCGGCGCAGCCCCAGCAGTACGACTGGTGAGGAAAGGGAGCAAGAGAGATGGTGATGCCGACCCAGACCGGCCGCGGCTCCAGGGCCCTCGGGATGTGGTAATGCTGGACGGTGAGTACCTGAGGGTGTGAGGCTGGGGGCACCAACCCGGGCCTGCCCTCTGCCTGCCTGAGGGTGTGAGGCTGGGGGCACCACCTCGGGCCTGCCCTCTGCCTGCCTGAGGGTGTGGTGTGAGGCGCACCCCCTCGGGCCCGCCCTCTGCCTGCCTGAGGGTGTGAGGCTGGGGACACCACCTCGGGCCCGCCCTCTGCCTGTCGTGAGGTTCTTCCCGTCACCGTCACCGTTTCAGACACTGCACAGCCTCTGTTGTTGCAGCCCCAGTTTCCAGGTGAAAGAGGACTGTCTTACCCAGGGACACAGCTTGAGCCGGGTCCCCCAGCAGCTGCCTTTCTTTGGCTTCCCCCAGCCTTCAGGGTCTTCTGGGAAGATTATTTTTACATTTGGGTCTTTCTTTCTCAGATCTTCCAGATTTACCCCCAGTGCTGGTCCCTGCTCCCCCAAAGAGAGCCAGGCCCAGTCCTGGCCACCCGCTGCCTGAGGATGAGGACCCTGAGGAGAGGCTGAGCAGGCACGACCAGCACGTCACTGCTGTCCTGGCGAAGATTATCGTGCGTCTCGCCCTGGCCACGGGGACAAGGCACCCATGGGTGTCGGGGTGGGGTGAGCCTTATGAGCGGAGAGGCTTCAGAAGATACTCTTCCTGCTGCAGTAAGGCAGGCTGCAGAATCGCTCTGGCCTGAAGCGAGACAAGTTCCTGAACCCCCAGAGTGTGGTTCCAGTTGTGAAGCAGGGCTGGCGGGATCAGGTGCACCTGGGGAAGTCGCTGCGTCTTCACTGCTTTGTGCTTTGTTGCTACAGGAGCGAGATACAAGTTCAGTGGCTGTGAATCTGCCTGTGCCCAGTGGCGTTGCCTTCCCCCCTGTATTCCCTCGCTCACAGGAGAGACAGGTAGGCAGAGATAACCTCAGGTGGGATTTAGGAGACAGGCAGGTGAGTCTCACAGTGCATCTTCTCCCAGATAAGTGTGTTGTTTAAGAATTATTTAATTACTTTTTAAATTACTTCATTTTATTTATTTATTTATTTACTTATTTAATTTTAATTTGATGAGAGAGAGAGGGAGAGAGAGCAAGCCTCCAGGTCTGGGACTTGAACTATGGTCAGCCACGTGGGAGTCCCGTGCCCCCAACCACCATGCTACCTGCTGGCCCCTTTTTAAGAATTATTTTATCTAGGACCAGCAGTTAGCGTAGTGGCTATGTTGCTGGACTCCCATGTAGTTGACCGCGGTTTGCATCCTGGACCCAGTGGCTTAAAACTCACGCCGGGAGCGTGTGTGTGCGTGCCCAAGATCCCAAGAGGAGAACAGAGAAGGGATTGCGGCGTGGCCATCCCCCCTGGGGGGTGATTTCTCGCTTTCTGTCTCTCTGTCTCTCTCTCTGTTTGGCGAGCGCACGTGCCCTATAGCAAAAACCTCTCAAAAAAAGAAAAGAAAAGAAAAGAATTAGTTTATCTAACTTTATTTATTTATTTATTTTAATTTGACCAGAGAAGGACAGAGTTGTGGGGAGGGCAAGCTGTCAGGTCTAGGACTCAAACTGTGGTCAGCCATATGGGAGTACAGCATCCTTAACCACGTCACCTGCCAGACCCTATTTATTTTAAAATTTTACCAGAGAGAGACAGAGAAAGAAAGAAAGAAAGGGAAAGTGAGAAAGCAAGCCACCATGTCTGGGACTTGAACCACGGTTGGCCTTGTGGGAGTCCAGCACCCCCAACCACCATGTCACACTGCCAGCCCTGATTATTATTATTTTCTAATTTGACCAAAGAGAGAGGGAAAGTGAGAAACAAGCCACCAGGTCCAAGACTCAAACCATGCTCGGCCATGTGGGAGTCCAGTGCCTTAACCACCATTCCACTTTCCGGCCCCAGTTTTAATAATGATACTAGGGAACCAGCAGTTAGCATAATGGCTATGTCGCTGGACTCCCATGTAGTCGACTGCAGTTCGCGTCCCGGACCCGGTGGCTTAAAACTCACGCCGGGCGCGTGTGCATGGGTGCCCAAGATCCCGAGAGGAGAATGGAGGAGAAGGGATTGTGGCGTGACCATCCCCCCTGGGGGGTGATTTCTCGGTTTCTGTTTCTATGTCTCTGTCTGTCTGGCGAGTGCACGCACCCTATAGCAAAAACCTCTCCAAAAAAAGAAAAAAAACGAACCTAAAAAAAAAAAATGACAATCATTCCTTTTACAAAGCAGCACCATACTAAGCACTTCACACACATTACTTCTTCTTTTAATATTTATTTATTTAATTCCATTTGTTATTATTTCTTAATTTGGACAGAGAGAAACAGAGAGAGCAAAAGGGAAAGTGAGGAAGCAACCTACCAGGTCTGGAACTCAAACTGAGCACACAGAGAGAGAGAGAGAGAGAAAGTGAGAAAGCAAACCGCCAGATCCAGGACTCGAACCGTGGTCAGCCATGTGGGATTGTCCCGTCCCTTTACCACCACACCACCTGCTGGTCCCCACACATTACTTTGAACCCTGATGACAACCATATCCTCATCCCCAGTTTTCAAGTGAGGAAACTGAGACCCCCAGAATGATAAATAACTTGTCCAACACCACACATCTAAAGGTAGAAAAGCCAGGCCTTCAGCCCAAGTCCGTCAGATTTCAAGACCTTTGCTCCTGTAGACCTCTGCTTTTTCTGAGAACTAAGATTGTGATCCTTGGGGATTGAGCAGAGTCCTTTTTACCTCTTTGGTCCAGAGACCTTGGTATAAAGGGGTTCAGAGGGTGGGATAATAAGCATCCGTAACCCGGGTTTCCTTTTGGCCCCACAGGGGAAGCCAGCAACATCTGGTAAGAGAAGCATCTTTGCCCAGGAGATTGCGGCAAGAAGGTTCTCTGAAGCCAGGGGCCCACCAGCTGGGGAAGTTATACACAACCTGGACCCACCAGAGGGTGAGCTGAGGTTGAAGAGGCTTGAGCTTGGCCCCCCCCCCTTTTTTTTTTTTTTAGGTCTTTGCCACAGGGCACACATGCTCACTGGAGAGAGAGAGAGTAAAAGGGAGTAAGAAGTCACCCCCTCAGAGGGAATGGCCATGCCACAATCCTTTCTCCATTCTCCTCCTGGGATTTTGGGCACACACACACACATGCCTACATGATTTTCAAGCTTTCAGGTCTGAGACTTGAACCGTAGTTCGTCGTGTGGGAGTCCAAGCCTTAGCCACTTCACTTCCTGCTGGCCCCGAGCTTGACCTTTTTAAAAGACATGATATTTGGGTCACTTTTGGATACGTGTCTTCCCTGCCTCAAATGGGACATGCGTTTGAACCATGTCAAGAGAAAGTCACTCCATGTGCCCACTTAGAGCTGAGTGTGGGAGCGTGGGTTCCGTTCTGAGTCTCAGTATAGAGAGGGGCAGACCATAATGCAACCCTAAGGAAAAGGGAAGCGGGTAGAAGTATCTGGTGGGGACTGTAAAATAAAGACACAGGCCAAGGTTCCTTTACTGCTGCAAATTACTAGCAGAAGAGCTGGGGCAGGCCCCTGGAGCTCGGTGGCTGCCTGGGCATCCAAGAGAAGAGTCATAAACGAGGTGCCTCTCAGGGAAGCCACTCCATGTGAGTCCCAAAGGAAGAGTGAGTGGAGTGCCCACATCCTGTGCCAGGCCCAGTGGGGTCTCCACTCTCTTAGGAAACCTCTGGGTCCTACACCTGTCTCCAGGGCAACACGCTTAGAGAAGCCAGAGGCCCACGGAGAGCTGTGGAGAGCAGGGCAATGGGTGATCCTACACTTCTTCCTGATGCAGGGACCTGCGAGGCACCCGCCCCTATGGACCAGGGCTGCCAGCTTCCAGGTAGCAGCCAGAGCTTCCAGGGACCCCATCTGGTCACAGGGAAAGGCCTCAGGGACCAGGAGGCTGAACAAGAAGCCCAGACCATCCATGAAGAGAATGTGGCAAGACTGCAGGCCCTGACTCCAGAGGAGATCCTGCAAGAACAGCAGCGGTTGCTGGCTCAGCTTGGTACGGGCACCTGGCTTTTTGGCCAAGACCGGGATAGGAAGGGACTGCTGCTGCTTGAAGCAGACTTTCCACGAGCGCCAGCATGGGCTGAGTATTTCAGTGTAGCGTTCCGCTTTGTCCTTAAACTCGTCCTGTGTGCTGGGCAGTATTAACCTCATTTTACTCACGGAAAAAGCTGAGGCTCAGAACTCTAAGAAATCTACTCCAGGTTACACAACAAGAACACAGATAAGATTATTTACTTATTTGAGAGATTTTTGCTATAGGGCGCATGTGCTCATCAGAGAGACCTAGAAATAGAAAGCAAGAAATGACCCCCTGGGGGATGGCCACATTGCAATCCCTTCTCCTCTATTCTCCTCTCGAGATTTTGGGCACACATGCACACATGCCTGGCATGACTTTCAAGTCACAGGGTCCAGGACTTGAACCATAGTCAGCTATGTGGGAGTCCAGCACCTTAACCACCACACCACCTGCTGCCCCCGCCCCCCAGATAGGATTTAAACCCAGGTCTGTCTGGTCCCTGAAGCCGTGTTCTTAACCACTGTGCTACGTGTTACTGTGGCGGCCTGGTCTGGTACACACTGCTTCATTACAGCTGTAGGCTTTGACGGCTTCGGTACGGTCCACCGTGCTATGCCATGCCCTTCCTAGTTGCTGTTCATCGAGACCCAGTCGCTCTTGTCCCCACTGTCTGTCTAGCCCGTATGGAGAGCAGGATACGTACTGCATTTCTAGTAAATATGTGCGCGTGATAAAGGAGCTGAGAGAGGGTGCAGGAAATTGTCTCCCTAAATGCCTTTTCTTTGGCCCTAGTCACAAGATTCATTTATTCCGTAGCTACTTACCTTTGACCTGTGACCTGGCACCAAGCACAGGGATAGACAGGAACCTGGGCCAAGGGCCTGTGAAGGGTTAGAGGGGAAGGTGGGGAGGCAGGACCCAGTGACCCCACAGGTGTGAGAAGGAAAGGTCATCAGAGGGTCACAATCCCCGGGGCTCAGGCCGAGGCTGGCAGCAGCTTGTCTTGTCCTTGACTCCCACAGGCAGGCAGTACTCCGCAGGTCCAGGCCTGCGGGCAGTTAGGAAGGGTCTGTGCTCACTTGCTCCCCCCACTTCTCCCCTCTAGACCCCAGCTTGGTTGCCTTCTTGAGATCTCACAGCCGTAAACAGGAGCAAACAGGGGGAAAGGCCACTGAGGAGCAGAGTCCAGGAGGACCCTCCATTCGTGTCATCAAAGAGGAGCCCATCATGTCACCTTCTGCCAATGGGTCCAGGGAGGAAGATAAGCTGCAGCCAGGAGCACCAGGTTTGGGTGGAGAAAAGTGTCCTTTCTCCTGGGCCTTTAAATGGGATCCGAGAAAAGCTCTGCTCTTGGGCACCGCATGTTTATCCTCATTACTGGCTCTAAATTGCCTCCAATCGGTCTTCATTTGCCGATGCCTATCATCTCCCTGCACATGCTTCCTGTTTGCTCACCCCGTTGCTGCTCCCTGGGAAGAGGTGGCAGAGTGATGCCCGAGCGGCGCCCTCTGCCTGGCAGGCCATCTCCTGCCTCTGCTGTAGCTGTCCCAGCTCTGGCTCTGTCCTCCCACAGTCCTTCCTGCTGGTGCTCTTAGGTTGGGGGGACGGTAGGGCTGGGGTGATGGGAGGGCAAGAATCTGGCCACAGTCTCATGAACATGCCAGACCAGAAGCAGAGAGGCCAGTGGAAGCAGTCATTTCCCAGAAACTAGATTATTTCATTAGTGATTAACGAAAGAAATGAGATTATGATGGCTGGGAACCTCCTGCCCCCGGAAGAGCACCAGGCCAGCTGAGCGGATTGGGGGCGCGTGGAGAGGGAAGATCTTGTGGGGTGTGTTTCTTTATCCTGCCCCTCTGGTGCAGTATCACGGTCCCCTCCTTGTCCGCATTCCTCTGCTCTTTCGAAGGGCTGGTCCTAGAGATGGAGAGCTGTGCTTTCCCTGGTGTATGTAATCCTGTCCTCCTCCTCGTTCCTCCTTCCCACACTCTTCTCTTCCTCCTTTCTTCCTCATCTTTCCCCTCCCTACAAATCCCTGTAGTCCGTAAGGGACTAGAGCCCATGACTGGTGTGTCTGATATATCCGAGACACCTGTCCAGGTCCCAGGGATTCCAGCTCCCCCCCTGCCATCTCACCGTCACTGAGGGTGAGAGCTGCCATCTCACCGTCACTGAGGGTGAGAGCTGCCAGATCTCAGCACAGGTGGATATGGCAGCTGCTGCAGAATAGCTGGGAGCCCTCTGGACCCGAGCCGAGCCCCTTAGGGAAGACTGTCATGGTCCCATCTCCCCAGCTCCAGCACTGCCCGTGACCCCCCACAAGGAATGGCTGCACATGGACACTGTCGAGATGGAGAAGCTCCACTGGACCCAGGACCTGCCCCCACTCCGACGGCAACAGACGCAGGAGGTGAGAGGGCCAGCTGGCCGCAAGGCGTGGGGTGGGAGGGGCTGCTGCTCCTGCACCCCACACTCAGGCCCTTCTCTTCCCTGGAGCCTGAGAGCCATATTCTTTGTTCTCCCACTGCTCATCACCCTGCCCGGCTCCCAAGGCCAGATGAGTGCCACGTCCCTCATGGAAGTAGTTAGGACCGGGTCCTGAGGGGTCTGGGAGTAAAGGTGAGGAGCGGGTGAGGGGAAGTTGCTGCTGCCCCAGCCCTCTTTCTCTTCCCAATAGAGAATGCAGGCTCGGTTCAGTCTTCAGGGAGAGCTGCTGGCCCCCGACGCGGACCTGCCCACCTATCTGGGCCTGCACCACCATGGAGAGGAGGCAGAGGTGAGGCCTGAGCAGTCCGAGCTTTTACCAACCTTGCAAGAAAGGACCTCAGGCAGTTGCTCTTGACCTCCTGTGTGCCCTGTTCTGGTTTATGGCCTTGCTGTCCATGCAGGTGCTTCAGTTCACAATCTCGCTCTTGTCTCCCTCACATTGCTAGAAGTTGCCAGTCTTTGTCACCTCTCCATGATGCTTTCTGGGTCATGGCATTGCTGCTCTGGTCTCCTCCATCGCTGGGCCTGCCACTGTGTCCCCATGCCATTCCCAGCCCTCACAGGTCTGCAATACTGACGATCTCTGCCCCAGCTCTGGCCAGGCCTTGCCTAGGGAAGCTTCCCTGCACCTGTCTGCTCACAGAATAAAGTTCCGGCTGAGGAGCCCTTAGTCCTTACGTGTTACCCTCTGACCTGCAGCTCTGCCCCCTCACTGCTGCTGCAGGGCTCTGCTGGCTCCTCCTCACATGCTCCCTGTGCTCGGGGGCCTCAGGCTTGCCCCAGGGAGTGCCTTTCCCCTTTGCTCCATGCCAGGCCATGAAGGATCCATCCATCTACTGAGACATCACTTTTCCAGGCTCACATCCTCTCTCCTTCCTCTGGTTGCAAACTGAACATCGGTCACTGCATGCCTTCCAGCTGCCTCACGCCGTGGTTCCTTGAGTGCAAGTTCTGTCTTGAGGCACCGTGAAGAGCAAGGGCAGGGAATGTCACTCATTTACCCCTGTCCTCTCCTTCCCTTGACACCTTGCCGGGTATCTAGGGGGCACTGCGGTGCATCCTGGCTCCTTCTGACATCTCGTCTCTGCCCCAGAGAGCAGGATACTCCCTACAGGAGCTGTTCCACCTGACCCGCAGCCAGGTGTCCCAGCAGAGAGCACTAGCGCTGCACGTGCTGACCCAGGTCATCAGTAGGGTGAGTGGACCTCGGCCTGTCCTGCCCGCCCTGCCCCGTGACCATGGCCCATGGCCTTAGACTTCCCCGCCTCCTGCCCTTTCCGCTCTGGCTCACCAACCAGATGGTACTCTGTACGTCTAAGGGATGTTAAGGCAAAGACTACGTAACTTCCAAATTACAGCACGGTTTTATCCTCCTGTCTCCAAGGCCCAGGCTGGTGAGTTTGGGGACCGGCTTGTAGGCAGCGTCTTGCGCCTCCTTTTGGATGCTGGTTTCCTCTTCTTGCTGCGCTTCTCCCTGGATGATAGAGTGGATGGGGTCATCGCGGCCGCCGTCAGGGCTCTTCGGGCTCTGCTGGTGACTCCTGGAGATGAGGTACCACAGGGATAGGAGTGGGGCTTGGCGGTGTCAGGGTCCTGCCCCTCACTCCGGGCATGCCCCATTGTTCAGGTTTGTGGGAGGAATGGAGAATGGGTGGCGGGCATCATCTGCTTTTCCTAACGACCCCGGAGCCCAGGAGTCCTGCCTTTCTGCTCTTGGCTGGGGCGGTTCTCACACTGCTCCAGGCCCCGCTTCCCAGCCCCTTCCTCTCCCCACCCCACTCCCTTTCCTCTGGCAGGAGCTTCTCGACAGCACTTTCTCTTGGTACCTTGGAGCTTTGGTGTTCCCTCTGATGCCCAGCCAGGAGGACAAGGAGGATGAAGATGAGGATGAAGACCCCCCAGCAGAAAAGTCACCAAAGTGTCCTGAGGAAGGAAGCCGGCCTCCACCTGACCTAGCCCGACATGATGTCATCAAGGTAAAGGGACTGGTTTCCCTTCCCAGGACCTAGAGGGCAAGCATGTGCTGGGCAAGAGGCTCGTCCAGACCAGGGCCAGCTGCGTTTGGCACAGAGTTTCTCTCTCCCACCCCCAGGGGCTCCTGGCTACCAACCTGCTGCCTCGGCTACGCTACATACTGGAGGTGATCCACCCCGGACCTGCGGTGGTCCTGGACATCCTAGCCGTGCTCATCCGTCTGGCCCGGCATTCCACGGAATCAGCCACAAGGGTGAGAAGGAAGGAGGCGGGGAGTGTGCAAAGACCTTAGCTGGGCTGCGTCCTGACCCTCAGCCTCCCTACCTCCTGTCCCCTGTAGGTCCTGGAGTGCCCTCGACTCATAGAGACTATAGTTCGAGAGTTCCTTCCCACCAGCTGGTGCCCCGTGGAGGGAGGACCCACCCCCAGTCTACACCAAGTACCCTGTGCCACTGCAATGAAACTGCTTCGTGTCCTGGCCTCGGCTGGCAGGAATATTGCTGCCCGACTGGTGAGCAGGAAGCAGGGCAAGGATGGAGCTCAGAGCAGGACAGGGCTTGGGCTAAACATGGCGCCTGGACCCTGGGGGGCCAACCCATGCCGTCTTCCTCTTTCTCTCTGGTCTAGTTGCCACAGAACCTGGCCACCTGGGGTGTATGCACCCTGGGGCCTTACTCTGGTCTCATGATGTGACGGGAGGGCTCCCTAGTCCCTGGGTCAAGTCTAGAGAGCCTCATACAGGTGGACTCTCATCACCCACAGCAAGTCGCCCTGGAAGTGTGCCCTGCAAGCACTTTCTAAAAAGACAGCAGGGGTGGAGGGAACAGTTTCACCCCTGGCCAGAGCGATGACATTGTGGCACCAGAGGGACCTGAAACAGGCCCAAGCGGAGCTCATCTCCACAGTGAGAGAACCCGAGACTAATTGGACTTGTGACTCCAACTGACCTTGACCTCCAGACTCTCTACTCACCCCCAGTTGAGTGGCTTTGATCTTCGGAGTCGCCTATGCCGCTTCATAGCTGAGACTCCCCAAGAACTGGCCTTGCCCCACGAGGAAGCTGAGACCCTGAGCACCGAGGCCATCCGTCTGTGGGCCGTGACTGCCTCCTATGGCCAGGGTAGTGACCTTTACAGGTGAGGAGAGGTGGGAGGTAGGCCTCCCAGAGACCCACCCAGTTCTGCACTTCAGGCCTAACCCTGTACTTCAACTGTGTTCAAGGCCCGAGGCTCAGAGAAAGGCTACGGACAAGGAAGAAGGGATTCTGCAGGGTGTGAAAAGGCTGGGGAGACAGGACCAGCTTGGGGAGAGTGGAACGGACCTGGGTTATCTGCATTCTGTGCACAAAGGCCTTGATACCTTGGGCAAAATCATATTTAAATTCTCTGTTGGAGGGGAGCCCTGCAGGGCCATATCCTTCCCATTCTTCAGGGCCCTGGAGCCTACTCCCTCCTGATCCTCCTTCACCAGACACAGATCCCTGGGGCAGGCCGTGCCCTGGGTCATGTCTCCATCTCTCTTCATACAGTGACAGTTGGTATTCGTCCCCAGGGAGCTGTACCCAGTGCTGATGCAGGCCTTGCAGACCGTGCCGACAGAGCTCAGCGCCCACCACCCTCGGCCCCTGTCCATGCAGCGGGTAGCCTCATTGCTCAGTCTCCTCACCCAGTTGACCCTGGCAGCCAGCCCCACCGCTCTTGGACCCACCGGGTAGGTTCTGGCCCCGAGCCTGCCGGCAGGGATGCCCTACCAGGAACCCCAGGACAGGAGGGTATTTCTCCACAGTGAGAGTGGCTGGAGTTTAGACAGGAGTGATACAGCCAGACCCTCACTGTAGCCCCTCTTGGCACTCCTGCAGTGACTCTGCTGAGGCCAGCCTGTCGGCCACCCCTTCCTTGATCACTTGGGCACAGGTGTCTGGGCTCCAGCCTCTCGTGGAGCCATGTCTAAGGCAGACCTTGAGGTTGCTGCCCAGCCCTGACCTGTGGAGTGCCCTGGGCCCAGTGCCCACTGCCTGCCTGCTCTTCCTGGGTGCCTACTACCAGACCTGGAGCCAGCAGGTAAGCGTTGCCTGCCTGCCTTCTGCTGCTCCCCTGTGCCTGCCCTCGCCTGCATCCCACTCATGAGCTCGCTCTGTCTGCACCTTCCACTACTTTCCCACTCCCGCCTTTTCCCCTCTCCACCTCCATACCCCGGTGGAGCTTCCCAGGAGCCACGTCACTGGGAGCTGAGAACCATTATTTATTTATTTATTTATATTTCACCAGAGTGAGAGAGAGATAGAGAAAGAAAGTGAGAAAGCAAGCCACCAGGTCTGGAGCTTGAACCACAGTCGGCCACATGGGAATCTAGTGCTCCCAACCACCACGCCATCTGCCAGCCCCCGTGCTCTCTCTTTATGCACCCCTGGGTGTTGGGGACCAGAGCAATCTTGGGGCCTTGTCTCCCTTCAGAGGGGTCCGCCTGCAGAAGCCTCCTAACTCCCTCCTTGGAGTGGTGGGATGAGCCCGGGCACACAGGGCCTAGGGGAGTGGGTGTCCTGGGCCATCAGCTCACTGAGCCCCTTTTCCTACAGCTGAGCTTGTGCCCGGGGGAGTGGCTTCAGGATGCGGAGCGCCTGCTGGAGGAGCTGTTGCTGCCACTGCTGAGTCAGTCTGCCCTGGGCAGCCTGTGGGACGCCCTTAGGTACGGACGTGTGTAGCTGGCAAGAGCCGAGGGTGCAGGCAGCCTCTCTCCCTGTGGGACTCCTGGGTCCAGCTGCCTGACCCATCCCAGGGTGTAACCCTCAGCCTGAGAGGAACCAGAAGTGGCAGCTGTGTGGGGCCCCGAGGGATGCGGGGAGTGATCTGCATAGCCGATCCCCTGCTGGCCGTGGTCACAGACTAAGCAGCTCTTTCCAGCCTGCACACATCAGGCCAGAGCCCCAGCCTCTCCATTCTGCCTGCAGGCTCTGCTCTCCTCTCTGCAACCCGCTGTCCTGTGCTCCAGGCCCTGAGGTGCTCCCCAGCCTCGTGTCACTGGGCCATGCGGGAGACTGCCCGCCTCTCAGTCTGGCAGGCTCAGCCTCACCTTTCCCGTTCCTCACCGCTCTCCTGTCCCTCTTCAATACCCTGGCTCGGATCCACAAGGGGCTGTGTGGCCAGGTAAGCCTTGGTGCCTGGGGAGGGACTGGCAGGGAGCCCAGATGGCAGGAGTCAGGAAGAAATGGAGGGGAATGCACTGTAGGGGAATGGAGGACTCTTCTGCCAGCACCCATTGCTCGGCGTTCAGCTGGGAGAGGGCAGCCACCTGGGTTGCCCAGAAGTCATCAGAGTCCATTTCTAGGTCTGAACAAAATTGCTTTTCTTCAGCTGGCTGTCGTGCTGACTGCCCCAGGACTCCAGAACTATCTCCTCCAGTGCGTGGCCCCGGGGGCTGCCCCACATCTCACGCCCTTCTCTGCATGGGCCCTGCGCCATGAGTACCACCTGCAGTACCTGACACTCGCCCTGGCCCAGAGAGTGGTGGGTTCCCCCGTTGGACAGGTTCGGTCCCCGAGCCCGACCCCTTTGTCTCCTTCTGGCTTCTCTGGAACCTGTGCAGCTTCTGCCTGGCCATGCAGCTTCTGCTTTCCCCAGACATGCCCTGGGTCTGTGCCCTGCAGCCTCACTCATATCTTCTCCCTCACTTCTTTGCTTCGCCTCCCCTCGACTCCCCAAATCTGAATAGTTCCCCGCCCCTCTTCACAGGCGGCATACCAGCCAGTGCCAGCCACCAGTGCAGCCCTCCTTCATGGTCTGGCCTTGGCCCTGCTAAGCAGGCTGCTGCCTGGAAGTGAGTACCTCGCCCACGAGCTGCTGCTGAGCTGCGTGTTCCGACTGGAGTTCCTCCCGTAAGTCCAGTGTTGGTGGCATCAACTCAGCCCTTTTGGGGGCTGCTGTGGTTGTTAGCAGAGCCTCCCTGAGCTTAAGTCTCTTTGTTATTTCTTCTGTAAGAGAGACAGAGACAGGCACTCCCAACAGGGTCCTCACACCACGATCCACACTAGCCCCAGCCAGCCCAGCTCACAAGCACATGTGCATTTGTGAGGTCCGGGGATGCAAACTCGGGACCTTTCCCAAGTGGGTCCAGTTGCGTTACTTCTGTGCTACTGTCTGGCCTCTACTTCTTTCATGGTTTACCTGTAACCTGTCTGAGCTTCAGTTTCCTCATGAGTGAAATGGAGATGAGGATAACCACACCAGACAATGATCGTTTGACTATCTGGCTAAAAAATAGTATACTAACTAGCTATGCACATGTAGTAGCTACTAGTTCCTGAGGACTTAGTCTGTGTGGTACCCCTGTAAGTATTTACCTGTACTTTCAGGGTTTCACCTGTGCCATGAGATCCATAGCCAGTTACTACGCCCATTTTACTGTAAGGACACAGTGCAGAGAAGGCATGTCGTCTTGCACCTGCGCAGCTGGCTCTAGTGTCCATCCACTTAACTGCTGCATGCATGGGAGCTGTTGGGGGAGCGGAGGGGCAGGATTGGACCTCAGAGCCTCTGGGAAGCCCTGCAGAGCTGGCATTGCCTTCTGGGTGCTGTGGTTTCAGCCCATGTTTTTGTCTTTTGGATCCTGTTCTAGAGAAAGTGCATCAGGGGGTCCAGAAGCAGCCGACTTCTCTGACCAGCTCTCCTTAGAGAACAGCAGGGACCCACGGAGCAAGCGGGGGGTTCTCCTAGCTCAGGCCTGCCAGGACCTCCCCAGCATCCGCAGCTGTTACCTGACCCACTGCTCGCCCACCCGAGCTGGCCTGCTGGCCTCCCAGGCCTTGCACCGAGGGGAGCTACAGCAAATCTCAACCCTGCTGCTGCCGGTGCCTAAGGAGCCACTGCTGCCCACAGACTGGCCCTTCCTGCCATTGATTCATCTCTACCACCGGGCTTCAGACACGCCCTCGGGGCTCTCTCCCACGGACACTGTGGGCACAGCCATGCGGGTCCTGCAGTGGGTGCTAGTTCTGGAGAGCTGGCGCCCCCAGGCCCTGCAGGCTGTGCCTCCTGCTGCCCGCCTGGCACGGCTCATGTGCGTGTTCCTGGTGGACAGTGAGCTATTCCGAGAGACCCCAATCCAACGTCTGGTGGCAGCTCTTCTAGCCCAGCTCTGTCAGCCTCGAGTCCTGCCAAACCTCAACCTGGACTGCCCACTTCCTGGCCTGACATCTTTCCCCGACCTCTATGCCAACTTCCTGGAGCATTTTGAGGCTGTCTCTTTTGGAGACCACCTCTTTGGGGCTCTGGTCCTCCTTCCCCTGCAGCGTCGGTTCAGTGTCACCTTGCGCTTGGCCCTATTTGGGGAGCACGTAGGAGCCTTGCGAGCTCTAGGCCTGCCTCTGAGCCAGGTACTCTCAGCTGAGCAGGGCCTGCCAAGTGTACCTGCTCTGGGCCCTGGGGACAGTCCCGAGCAGTGGGGGGCTTGCTGGGCTGTGGGTTCCTCATCTTACTCTTAAGGATTAAGAGAATCCATGCAAGAGGTTTAACATGGTATCTGGCATAGGAAGCAGGCGTTCCTTAGGAACAATGCATGTTCCTGCTCTAAGATGCTGCAGTCAGGTGAGAGAGTTGCCGAAAACCAACCTGGTTCTAGGTGTTGAGTTAAGATTCAGAGAAGAGAAAGATCAGGGTGAGTTTCCTATAAGGAGGAGGCTTTGTGGAAGAAGTGGAGTTTGACCCAGGCATGAAAGTGGGTAGAACTTGAATTGCTGAGGAGGTGGAAGGGCAGGATGTTCCTAGTGGAAGAACATATGTCAAAGCTCAGAGGCAGGAAGCAGTGTGACAGAGGGTGGAAGGAGGGAGGAGAGATTACTGTTAGGAACTCATTGAAAACAAGGCTGAGAAGCAGTCTTAGAGGGCCTCAGATATCAGGCTTAGGAATTAAATTTATAAACTGTAAAGAGTTATTACTGGGACCAGCAGATGGCATAATGGTTTGTCACTGGACTCCCACATAGTCAACTGCAGTTCAAGTCTCAGGCCCGGCAGCTTAAAATTCATGCCAAGTGTGTGTGTGCTTGCGTGCCCAAAATCCCAAGAGGAGAATGGAGGAGAAGGGATTGGGTGATTTTTTGCTTTCTGTTTCTCTGGTGATTACATGTACCATATAGCAAAAATCTCTTCTTAAAAAAAAAGTTATTACTATTTTCTCATTATTATATATTCTAGTGAATTTAAAGTAGAAGCATATTTTTTATATAGAAATACTTTTACATAAAAGGAGCTAAAATATAGAATATTTTTAGGAATTAAGAACATCATTGGACTGGCAAGTGGTATAGTGGTTAAGGTGCTAGACTCCCACATGGCTGACCGTGGTTTGAATCCCAGACCTGGTGGCTTGCTTTGCTTTCTCACTTTCTCTCTCTCTCTCATCTCTGTCTCTCTCTGGTGAGAACATACACCCTCTAGAAGATTAAAATAATAATAATATATTAAATAAGTAATTTATAAAAAGGATTTTAAAAAAATAAGGAAAATGTGACCAGCAGTGGTGTGATGGTTAAAGGCTCTGGATTCCCACATGGTCAACTGTGGTTCAAGTCCCAGACCTGGCAGCTTGTTTTCTCATTTTCCTCCCCCTCTCTCTGGTCAAATTTAAAAAATAACAATAACAGGCCTGGCTGGTCATATGGTGGTTAATGGACTCCCACATGGCTGACCATGGTTCAAGTCCAGGACCTGGCGGCTTGCTTTCTCCCTTTCTCTCTCTCTC